TAGATCTCGATCTAGATATCAAATCGAGCTATGGATATGTGTATATATATATATATGTATGTATGTATGTTTGTTTGTTTGTTTGTTTGTATGTTTGCATGCATGCATGTACGCATGTATGTATGTATGTATGTATGTATGTATGTATGTATGTATGTATGTATGTATGTATGTATGTATGTATGTATGTATGTATGTACACACACACACATCCCTAAACCCTAAACCCTAAACCCTAAACCCTAAACCCTAAACCCTAAACGCCCTTTGGCCCCAAGTCGTCCTGCAGTCGGTTGATGGCCTCCTGCTGCCTCCGCTCGATGTCCACGTTGCATTTGAGCTGACGGCGTTAGGGTTTGTGAGGGTTTCAGGGGTTTAGGGTTTAGGGTTGGGATGCTCCCCCTTAAACTAGTTTAGGGTTTAGGCTTTGGGGTTTAGGGTGTAGGGTTTTGGGTTTCCGGGGTTTAGGGTTTCAGGGGTTTGGGGTTTGGAGTTTAGGGTTTTGGGTTTCAGGGGTTTGGGGTTTCAGGGGTTCAGGGGTTTGGGGGTTGAGAGTGTTGGTTTCAGGGGTTTAGGGTTTCAGGGTTTTGGAGTCTAGGGTTTTAGGGGTTAAGGGTTTGTTTCAAGGGTTTAGGGATTCAGGGGTTTAGGGCTTGGAATTTAGGGCTTGGAGTCTAGGGTTTGTTTCGGGGGTTTAGGGTTGGGAGTTTAGGGTTTCAGGCATTTAGGTTTTCAGGGGTTTAGGGCTTCAGGGGTTTAACGCGTGGAGTTTAGGGTTTGGAGCTTAGGGTTTCAGGGGTTTAGGGTTTCAGGCGTTTAGGGTTTCAGGAATTTCGGGTTTCAGGGGCTCAGGTTTACGACACTGTAGGGGGTTCCTACCGCAGGAAAAACAGGGATTCCTTTGGAAGGTTGAGGGCGTACTCGGAGGTTCATAGGTACTTCTAAGCAGCTCTAAGTAGGGCGATAATAAGTAAGGTGCCCGAAACCCGAAACCCGAAACCCTGAACCCCTAAGCCCTAAGCCCTAAACCCTAAACCCTAAACCCTAAACCCTAAACCCTCCTTACAAACAAGCATGAACCTTCTCAAGTAGTGCTCCTTACGACAGCTTCAGGGTGAAAGTTTCGCGGGGGAGCCCTGGGGTTTAGGAACCCTGAGAGCTTAGACACGGGATCCCTGGGTTCAGGGCTACGGTTTAGGGTTTAGGGTTTACGGTTTACGGTTTAGGGTTTAGGTTAAGGGTTTAGCCAAGGTTAAGGACGTCGGGCTGCAATTATCGGGTTCGGGTGGTTAGGCTTAGGGACCTTGCCCTAAACCCCTAAACCCTAAACCCTAAACCCTTTTCTCCTGGAGACGTCGGAAGCAAGAAGCTTGACAGGGCCATTCAGCCTCTGAGATCGAAGTACGGGCCCTGTCCACGCTTCTAGGGTGTCCCTGGACAGACTGCACAGCCCCCCGTCCGCTCTACCCCTACCTCAATGCATATAAGTGGACAAATGGCCTTCGGTCCCCCCCCCCCCCAAAAAAAAAAAAGCAAAAGCAATAACCAAATCATAACAACTAGTAGGTAGATAAAAAAACATACATATCTATATATATATATATCTCTCTCTCTCCTCTCTCTATCAAGGCATGAATGGGATAGCCACTGTGGATTCAGCAAGGGTTGGGGTTGAGCTGGAGGCTGGCACCACAGGCTAAGCAGGAAGCTTGGGATGTTCGCCCTTATACTAACAGTCCTTGGGTTTAGGGTTTAGGGTTTAGGGTTTAGGGTTTAGGGTTTAGGGTTTAGGGTTTAGGGTTTAGGGTTTAGGGTTTAGGGTTTAGGGTTTAGGGTTTAGGGTTTAGGGTTTAGGGTTTAGGGTTTAGGGCTTAATTGGGATCATAATGAGGGGGTGCTAGAATCCCCAAAGAGGAGCTGCTAGTCGAAAGGGGGCACATCCCGATAGGAAGCGCTTTGTGGCGACTGGGAGCTCGGGAGTTCTCCTGCTTCTGCTTCCCGTTCGCGGGGCTCGAGGCGATCAGCGTACTACCTTGGCTATGGGGTTCTTAAGGGAGGGCGGGGGGGTTCAAGGGGAGTATAGGGTTTAGGGTTTAGGGTTTAGGGTTTTAGGGTTTAGGGTTTAGGGTTTAGGGGGAGTATATAACCCAAGGTTCCCTAATACTCCCTGCACCCAAGCTCCCCCAATCCTTCTGGCTGAGATCACGATGACCAATGTCCCCCCCCGCAACTTCCAACACGCATCCTTGGCCACCTGGAACACATGCGCATTCTAACCCTAAACCCTAAACCCTAAACCCTAAACCCTAAACCCTAAACCCTCCTCAGCAACCTGAACTCGTCGGAAACCGCGATCCCAAACTCTAAGCCCGGACTGAACCCTGTAGAAGTCCCAAAAGCTTGACGCCCAAAATCCCTTAAAACCAACCCCAAAACCCCAAAACCCCAAACCCTATCCCTGAACAACATCCGAGTGGGCCGGGCGACGTCCCCAACTCGGCGGCCACCGGCGTCTCCGACGGCATCTCTGCTGCGTCATCGACAGCCTCTTCGGGTTTCGGGTTTCGGGTTCTAGTCTTGGTAGACCATGAACTATCCCCAAGGGTCCATGTACCTCATTATCATATACTTGGGCCTCAAAGTCCCTTTCTAGGAGGTACTTTAAGGCCCAAGTAGTCCCTATTGTGGTACATGGACCCTTAGGGTATCGCAACCTTAATCCAACCTGCGGGGGGTGGGCGGGGGCAGGCCCTTTAGGGGGCGGAGGCGGGGGGGGGGGGGGGGGGAGAGGGGGTGGCAAGGGGGGAGCGGAATCGTAGCTTGAGCAAGCCCTAAACCCTAAACCCTAAACCCTAAACCCTTCTCCCTAAACCCTTCTCCCTTAACCCAAAAGCCCCTGTGCGGTGAGGCAAACCTGCGTTTGTAGCTCGCGGGATCCTGTCATGGCCCCCACCCCAACCCGAAATAAGGCACAACCATGGCTCAATTTCAGGACTTCTTTGGGACGTGCTTTTGGTCAGCTTAAGTAAACCCTAAACCCTAAAACCTGAACCCTAAACCCTAAACCCTAAACCCTAATAAGATCCCCTGAGCAGGATCCCAAGAACAGGGTAGGCCTGCAGTCCCCTGAGAGCGCGCTGCGCGCGGAAGGCGCTCTTCAACCTCATGAGAGCTCTGCAAAGCTGGGCTTAGGGTTTAGGGTTTAGGGTTTAGGGTTTAGGGTTTAGGGTTTAGGGTTTAGGGTTTAGGGTTTAGGGTTTAGGGTTTAGGGTTTAGGGTTTAGGGTTTAGGGTTTAGGGTTTAGGGGTAGGGTTTAGGGCTAGGGTTTAGGGCTAGGGTTTAGGGCTTCGAGTCAGGGTTACGGGTTGTAGGGGTTCAGAGTTTAGCGTTTCCGACTCAGGGTAGCTGCAGCTACAAGAGACTGAAAAATACCCCCTTGTGTACCGTCATGTGATCCCTTATGTGCCCGATAGGCGCCATTCAAGTACACTTAGAATGATGGAAACTTAGGGGGTTTAGGGGTTTAGGCATTCGGGTTCCTTGGTTCAGGGACTCGGGGGTTTAGAAGAGGTTATTGTAGGGTCTCTAAGCCATAAACCCTCTAAACCCTCTAAACCCTCTAAACCCTCTGAACCCTCTAAACCCTCTAAACCCTCTAAACCCTCTGAACCCTCTAAACCCTCTAAACCCTCTAAACCCTCTAAACCCAAAACCATAATCCCTACCCAAACCCAAAGCATACCTGGCTAAACCCCAAACACTAAACCCTCTGGCCTAAAAGCCCTTACGCCTCCTTAACCAAGTCTTTAGGTCCTTCAGGTGCCTTTAAACCCCTGAGCGTCCACCACCCCTTAAACCCCTTAAACCTAACAGACTAAACTCTAAACCCCCCAAGCCCCCAAACACCAAGCATTTTGTTAACACCCTAAACCCTAAACCCTATAGCCCTCAACCCTAAACCCTAAACCCCATAAGCCCTGAACCCCACAAGGCCCCTAAAACGCCAGATGGCCGGCGCCAGCGGAGGCCGGGCGATGCCACGCGGCCAGCTGCGGGCGAAGAAGGTTCCCCTGGTGTGTGTTTAGGGTTTAGGGTTTAGTGTTTAGGGTTTAGGGCTTAGGGCTTAGGGTTTAGGGTTTCGGGCTTAGGGTTTAGGGTTTAAGGGGTTAGGGTGCAGAAGGTTCCCCTGGTCGCTTCGGAGGCGGGGCTTTCTTGGGTTTCTTAAGTTTCAAGGCTGGGTTCAGGGTTCAGGGTTCAGAGTTCCGGTTTAGGGTTTAGGGCTTTAGGTTTCAAGGGTTTTGGGTTTCGGGTTTTAGGTTCCTAGGGTTTAGGTTTCAAGGGTTTTGGGCTTAAATTTAGGGTTGATGAATTGTACGCTTCGGGTTTCGGGTAGTGAGGGCTGAGGTCAGGGTGAGGGTTCGCGGTGTGCAGAATTTGGGGTTTAGGGCTGAAGCTTGGAAAGATTTAGCTTTTAGTAGGTTTTTTAGTAAGGTGGGAAAGGTTCAGGGCTTCTGGGGGGTTTAGGGGGCTTTGAGATTAATTGCGGGTTGGGCTAGGGTTAGGCTTTGGGGGGCGTGAAGATTCGGAGTTTGGGGTTGAGAGCTTTGGTGTTTTTGCATTCGGGCTTGAGGGTTTTGGGGGAGAAAGAACTCGGATTTGGCGGCCCTGGACAGTGGCAGCTCACAATTCGAAATGCTGCAAACGAGCATCCCCACACCTCGAAGCCAGAAACCCTGCCTAAACCCTCCAACCCGCAGTCTTAGGTGGTTTTGATGAGTTTTGGGCGCTGAAGGCATGTCCGCGGTCCAGCCGTCTGCTAACTGCCTGGACCTCTCATTTGAGTGCCTGGTTTGGGGTTCAAGAACCTTCATGGAGGTTGCGTCTTTACGAACCAAAAGGCTAAACTAACTACGATGACTGGTCGAGGTGTGGGACCACTGAACCCTCAGTTGAGCGTCTATGCAATGCAGGACTGTGATCAGCGCCTTTCTGTGAAACTCTCACAGACTCGTTACGTGGAGCTTCGTTACAGGTGGAGCTGTGGTTGAGTCAGGTTCTGATCCCCCCGTGGGATCTTGGGAGATCTCAATCGCAGGCATGAGCCTCCACAGAACCGCGGTGGCTGTACCCATCACTATGAGCAGCGCCAGGTTCGCAGGCACCCAGTTCCCAAACTTATCGGACGAAAGCGCGCGAAGAGCGACTTCGCCCCAGGCGTAGCCCACATAAAGCAGCGACCCTACCTTGAGTGCTGTCCCTGGCATCACCAACTCTTACGCAACGTAGTTATCGCAAAAGCAAGTCTGGTACAGCAAACCTGGAAAATGTGTGCCAACGACGATGCAGTTGCGGCCACGAGCGCAGCAGAAAGCAGCCACTGCGCCCACCAGCTTTGTCCAAGGTTGCGTACTCTGAAAGCCAGGCGAAGTAGAAGCAGAGACACACTTGGAAGCAGACAGAGGAGATATGTTGCAGATGCAAGCGTCGCCTCCAGCGCATTTGCGAGCTTGTCCGGATGGTCCCAGTGAAGCAGGTCCAATATGGCAAATGCAACTGGGCTTCCCGCCTGCACGATGCGCCAATATGAGAATGCCTGATTTGCAAGCTGGTATACCAAAACTTGCAAAAGCCGGGTCCGAACGAGGGACTGGAAGTTGGCCACAGAGCCGAACCAAGCACGAATGCAACGAAGGATGACGAGGCGGTCACACACAATTGCGCTACCGTCCTCGTTCACGTGACCGATGTCACAGCAATCACACGAGCACTGTTGAACAGTGAAGTGACGAACTTGACATTGAATCGCATCAATGCTTCGACAGTGCTGAATCACGACACGAGCAAGAAGCAGCAGGCACGGGAATAACATAGCAGCTGCGAAGATTGCAGCCCACGGAAACATAGGCAAGCCCGTACAGAACAATGTAAGCAGGAGCACGCTGAGACCCAGGTGGGCCAGAACAAGCGCGGGCCAGTGAATACTGGGCAAACCAACACAGACTTGTCAGGGCCAGCGCCTTTGCCGTGTAAGAAACCTGCCATCTCCTAAAATGCTGCGACAAGGATGAAAAAAAACCTTGCTAGCTGTTTTTCTTAAGGCATGAAGTACATACGATAACGCTTTGGATGCTGTGTTTTATGTTAAAAGCAAGTGTACAACCTTTCCACAAAGCACCTGGTGTCCGGGCTGGGTTCGGGGGCGTTCTAAAATGTGATTCTTCCTGGCTTCATAAGGATTACATAAGGATTCTGGGTACTACGAATTATCAAAAAAATTGCAATTCAACCCCTGGTGTCGAATACGCACCACAATCTCGTGATCCATGTCTCATCCCAGAGGATTAGTAGCGACTTCGAACCTTGGAACCAAAACTCTGATTTTTTTTTCTTTTTGTTAGGGTTTGGGGTTTAGGGTTTGGGGTTTAGGGTTTAGGGTTTGGGGTTTGGGGTTTGGGGTTTGGGGTTTGGGGTTTGGGGTTTTGGGTTTTGGGGAGGCGGGGGGGGGGACCAAATGAACCCTAAAAGGGTTTAGGGTTCATATACCTAACAGAGATCTAGTAGTATAGGGCGTATAGGGTAGTATGACCCCCAACTTTAGGGTTCATTCGGTCTTCAAGGTACTTTAGGCTTTAGACTTTGGGGAGGGTGATGTACTATTCAGAAGGGTAGAGGGCTGCGGTTCACAAGAACGCTACCAAGAAAAAAGCGGCAGCCTCCCATACCAGCAAAAAAATGCGGTGTCCCGTAAGCCCACATGGGCAACGAAGAAAACCCCTAAACCCTAAACCCAAAACCCTAAACCCAAAACTCTGCTCTTGGTCACGAAAGAAGCATCTCAGAAAAGCACCCATGCCTAGGATTCACAGGAAGGAGCTGGCTTTGGGCTTGAAAAGGTTCGGACTTAACCCTACTTTGGAGAAGACCCTGGAACAAAGAATATACTTTTTAGGTATTAGTAGGTATAATAGGAACCCGGAGCTCAAAAAAAAAAAGTGTTGAAGTATAGTACTCCAAAGCCCTGTTAAGCCTTGTGCGTTTAGGGTGCTGTATGAACAGCCCCGAACCCTAAACCCCAAACGTTAAACCCCCGCCCCGAGCATGCTTGTAAGGTAATTTCGGCAGCCCAAATGAGTGTTGAGGCGCTAATCAGGCCGACACCCTTCAGCTCGTCGTCAGTCTGGCTGATGCAGGCGATATCAAGGAATGCGACTTCCTACAGAGCGGAATCGCCAGCGACATGGTCAACAGGCTATACGCCCAGAAGATAAGGCACACACACACACACACACCTTGAATCCTACACCCTAAACCCTAAACCCTGAACCCTAAAAAACCTGTTGCCCTGCCCCCCGCGATCTTGTTGAGCACTTGTTGGTCTCAGTTCTGTGGGACTCACCACTGTGTCCAGATAATCCCAGATGATCGCTTCCAACGAATTGGAGGGTCCCCTTTTTTCGCGTCTAGGGTTTAGGGTTTAGGCTCTACCCAGAGTAACCTGCAGACCTTCTGCGGTATATAAGGTTCAGTCTAGGCAAAGAACACTTCAATCTCGCAAAATCCTGTTCTCACAATTAGTGGACCAACCCTGGATTCAACTTGTCCTGCTCCGCCATAGGAAAAGGGTGACATAGTAGCCGAGGGTGCCAGCTATGGTGCACCATGCAGTTGCTATATTTACCTCACCGTCAGCGTGATGTATTGGCACGATGCCTGACAAGGTGAGGGAGAAAGCCCCCAGGGCACAAAGAGTGGCAACCACAAACGCCGGAAAGCCATTGTTCAGGAAGAGGACGTTGACATACTTTAGCAAGGCCCTGGTGCGCCAGCTATGGGACCAGAACTCATCCAGATGATTCGCCACCTCGCCTATGTTGGCCATTGGAACACTATGAAAGTAAATGCGACGTTCAGGGTCGAGAGGGTTTGCCTCTTAACAAGAAAGAAAGTGCAAAATTCTTTATTTATATGAGATTTAGGGTACAGTCTCTATAGGGCATAGTCACTGAGTCCATAGAACACCGTCCGCTCTCCCGCCAGCCACTTGCGCGGCATGCGCTGCAACACTCGATATACGGGGATCCCTCGCACAATGCTGGGCCTGAAGGCTTTCCTTGATGGCTGTTGCTTAAGAACCCCCTAAAAATGATAATCCCATGTTGCCCTTGTAAGGAAGAATGTATTGATTCTTTGGGGTGTTCTTAAACAATTAGTAGCTGAGTTCTCTAAGGGACGTGGCACAAGGGTTTTGGGTTGAGGGTTCAGGGACCAGGTTATTGTTTGGCTTTTGCTGGCAAGAGGAGTTGGTACGTAGTACACAAAGAAGGGGTTTAAGAGCTTTCCTTCTCAGCACAAAAGGATCAGGGTCAGAACCCTAAACCCTAAACCTTAGCCTAAACCCGAACCCGTGTTTTAATGCGTCAGAGAGTTTTCCATCTCAGTACTAAAGGATCATCTGGATCACAGCCTCAGCGAGGCCCTCGAGAAACGGCAAATCCTGGGAGTCCTGCGCAGAAGGAGTTCCCACAACGACCTCCAATCCACTCCCGGCCATGGCTGGGTTGAGGGCATAGGGCTTAGGGCTTCGGGTTTAGGGCTTAGGGCTTAGGGCTTAGGGCTTAAGGCTTAGGGGTTTAGGGCCTAGGGTTTAGGGGTTTAGGGTTTAGGGTTATTCTGCTGGGCCCCACACACACGATGCTCGGAAAAAAAACACCGGCGCAGTCAGAAACACATGTCGTTGACCTCGACATGTTGTTTTTTGCAGCAGAGGGTGTAAAAACAGGCTGCACCCGCTTCTGGGCTGAACTGCCCCGGAAAATGTAGCCATGTAAGTTCACAAGAAGACTGAGTCAAACCCTAAACCCTAAACCCCAAGCCTTAAACCCAAAACCCAAAACCCTAAACCCTAAGCCCCACACGACGATAGGAAAAAGGCTGAATCGGAGATTCCTCATTCTTAGTGGCTTGCTGCGGGACAGTCAGGCCCAGCGGCCCAGCCCATACCACCTCTAGACAGACTTCTCTCGACTCTGGCTATGGAAACGAACTACCTTCTGCCTTGCAAGGGGTTGAAGTAACCCCCCGCCCCCCACAACCCAAGGGGCTTTAGGTATCCGGCTTAGGGCAACCCCTAACCCCTAAACCCTTAGGCCCTAAACCCTGTAGGGTTTATAAACCCTAAACCCTAAATCCTAAACCCTAAACCCTAAACCTCATCCTAAACCCTAAGCTTTTACAGCCTGCGGGGCTTGCGCAGGTCTCCCGGCCGCGCTGCGACGCGTAAGACGCAGTGGTCCTCTCCGAAGCCCTGGTGGAGGGTTTAGGGTCTAGGGCTTAGGGCTTAGGATTTAGGGTTTAGGGCTACTGAGCATCCCAGTGAAACTCACAGAGATTCTCCAATTTTGGGGTTCATGTGGTCTCACGGACGAGCTTCGAAGGCTTTGTAATATTACGCCACAAAACCGTAAACCCTAAACCCTAAAAACTCTAAACCCTAAACCCTAAAAACTCTAAACCCTAAACTCTAAAAACTCTAAACCCTAAACACCCTAACCCTAAATCCTAAACCCTAAACCCTAAAATCTCTAAACCCTAAACACCCTAACCCTAAACCCTGAGAAGCCCGAAAAAATTTGCGGCCTGGGTGGCTGGTCTGCTGCATACCCGCTGCGGCGGAAGTTCACCGGCTCCTCGGCGACAAACCTTGGGGGGGGGGGGGGGGGGGGGGCACAGGGTTTAGGGGTTGAGGATTGTTTAGGGTATAGGGTTTAGGGTTTAGGGTTTAGGAGTTTGGAGTTTAGGGTTTAGGCGACTTAGGGCTTGCAAGGGTGCTAGGCTCAATGTTGAGGGTTGCGCTTTTGGGGTTTCAGCGTCTCGGAGTTGGGACTGTTTGCGCTGTGGAGTTCCGATTGAAGGCTGAGCAGATTTATGGGAAAGGCCGCAGGCTCGCAAAAGGGGTGGGCGGAAAGGTCAGGGCTCAGGGATTAGGGCTGCAAAACCCTCCCTAAACCCTAAACCCTAAACCCTAAACCCTAAACCCTAAACAAGCCCACGAACAGCACCCTGGTACTCCCCGCAATGCCCGACAAGGTCCAAGCTACTCGGAGCTTCAGGGTATGAACCTTCAAGTATCCCACTGTGGTTTTGGGGTACCTCAAACCACCGATATGGGGTAATGAGACCTCAAGACCCAAACCCCCTAAACCCTCAAGTACCTAAGACCACCAAAATGGGTACTGGGACCTCAACACGCTAGACCCAAACCCTTGAAGACTCAAGACCCTCTAAGATTTGTGGATTGCAGGTCCCATGAAGGCACGCCTGGTCTTTTGAGATCTGGGGATCAAGTACCGACCTAGATTATCATGGTCTCCCCCCTCTGAAAGATATTCGTACATGGGGGTTTCCGAAAGTAGGGGTACCCTTTTTGGGGGGTCCCTCTAAGGGGATTCTATTCTATTTGGGGTATAAAAGGGGGTTGACATGAAACCCTCCTACACATCTCTCAAGTACGCCTCGTTGTAAGGGACAACGCAAATATGTCTCCAAGGGCCCCCCTAGCTACGTACCTTCTTTGCTATGCGACATAGGTGCATGGATCCCTAAACCCTCAACCCTAAACTTTGGGTCTAGGGTTTAGGGTTTAGGGTTCAGGGTTTAGGGTTCCATAAGACTCAAACAAACCAGGGGGCTGCCGCCGTGCGAGGTAGGAAGACTGCTTGCGCTGGCGCATAGCTCCGGCGGCGTCCTTCGACGCGTCCTTCATTGTGAAAGTCTGGGGCCAAAAGAGGTTTAGGGTTTAGGGTTTAGGGTTTAGGGTTTATGGTTTAAAGGGGAGTCTAGTAGGTCGGAACCTGGATCCCAAGTACCCGACCAGGGTGAGTCACGGAGCCCTGAAAACATGATCCGCCACTCAACATCAACCCTAGACACCTACCCACCCCCCCCCCCATTCCCTAAACCCCTCGCCTTAAACCCTACCAAACCCAACCCTACACACGCTCAAACTCCTAAACCTTTGAAAGCCTAAACCCTAAACCCTAAACCCTAAACCCTAAACCCTAAACCCTAAACCCTAAACCCGCAACCCTAAACCCGAACTCACAAACCCACCACTGAAACCTGAAAGTTGAAGCTGGAACAGAGCTACGAGGCAAGTGTCGGCTACGTCGTAAGGCCCGCAAGGCCCAGCTCATTCTGTGCCATGTGTAGGGTTTTGGTAGGGTTTAGGGTTTAGGGTTTAGGGTTTAGGGTTTAGGGTTTAGGGTTTAGGGTTTAGGGTTTAGGGTTTCGGGTTTCGGGTTTCGGGTTTAGGGTTTAGGGTTTAGGGTTTAGGGTTTGGATTTGGGATTTAGGCTTCCGCTTGAAACCTTCAACGCGAAGCCTAAAATCCCGACTCTGCATGAAGTGGCAAATTGCAATGGGAACACCTACTGCAAGAGACCATCTTTTCGCGGTTTGGACATCTACAGGTCTACCTTCTTGCCGAAGGAAGCCCCCCCTCTCCTGAACGAAAGGGGAGCGAAGATTTGGGGTTTAGAGTTCAAGTTTCGGGTTTAGAGTTTAGGTTCTCAGGTTTAGGGCTTTTTCAGTTTAGGTTCCAGGGTATAAGATTTAAGGGTTCTTCTTTTTTAGGGTTAGAAAAACACAACATCTTCCCAGGCTCGGCCGCGTCGTCCGCCGAAGGGCCGGCAGTGGGCACATAGAGCTGCACGACTGGGTTCGGCTGCTCTGGCACCTTTAAGGGATTACAGGGGTGGAGAAGTGGGGTTTTGGGGGGTGAGGTTGGGGTTGTAGGGTTTGGGGTTGTAGGGTTTGGGGTTGTAGGGTTTGGGGTTGTAGGGTTTGGGGTTGTAGGGTTTGGGGTTGTAGGGTTTGGGGTTGTAGGGTTTGGGGTTTAGGGGTTTGGGGTTTACACCTCTACTTAGTGGTTCTTAGCAGCACAAATGGGCAAGTCGGTACCATGTAAAACCCCCCAGATGGCTTTGTAAGGGGATGCAAGGTACCTAATCCTTTGCCACTAGTTATAGAAATTGTGGTTGAGAGGGCTTGGGGTATAGGATGCAGGCATTGGTAGTTTGTGTGCCCTGCAAGGAAACCCTAAACCCTAAACCCTACACCCTACACTCTACACCCTAAACCCTGAACCCTAACCACCCAAACCCGAAAGAATCCGCAACCACAGTGTGTGCCTGGACCCCCGCCATCCAAAGGGTTTAGGGTTTAAGGTTAGAGAGTTTAGGGTTTAGGGTTTAGGGTTTAGGGTTTAGGGTTTAGGGTTTAGGGTTTAGGGTTTAGAGTAAACCCTAAACCCTAAAACCCTAAACCCCTATCGCTCCAAGTAGGTGGGGTGGAGGGCTTTAGGGACTCCCGAAACTCAAGTATTCACTTGACATGTGGACTGTAAGTTTGGATTGAGGGTTTAGGGTTTAGGGTTTAGGGTTTAGGGTTTAGGGTTTAGGGTTTAGGGTTTAGGGTTTAGGGTTTAGGGTTTAGGGTTTAGGGTTTAGGGTTTAGGGTTTAGGGTTAGGGTTTAGGGTTTAGGGTTTAGGGTTTAGGGCAGCTCTTCTGCTCAGATGACTTGTGGGCTGTTCGCCGTACAAAAGCACGGAAGATCCATCCCTCCTGGTGGGAGCTGACAAAAATCAGAGGGAATTCGTTGGAACCCCTACAAGGAAGCCCACTTGGAGGTCCGGGTACTTAGCAACCCAATAAAAGCGTAGTTAAAACCCACTTATAAGCCTCCCTTAGGTACCCTAATAACTTAGAAGTTCTTTTAGGTATCCTAATAGGGTTATAAATACAGCTATAATTGGGTTACTAACCCTAAACCCTAAACCCTAAACCCTAAACCCTAAACCCTAAACCCTAAACCCTAAACCC